ACTTCTAATTTCTCCACATCCTACATCCGGTTTTAAACTAACGTTCTTGAGGGGAAGCATAGTTGTCAAAGCCATTTCTCTTAGATAAATATCCAGAGGTGGCAGACAAAGCATTACCATTCATTCTCCATTGCTATGGAGATTTTCCTCGGTATTCAACTATCGATTTCTTTTCCAAGAGTACTAACAGTTTAGACACTTTCGCCGTTTGAAGTTTAATATCAGTTTTTCTGTAGTAATTAATATAATTTGTGCAACGGTTGCAATATGTTTCCGCAAACATATATAATTTTGACGAAACCTGCTTCAGCGATGACCCCGGTCGGATAAGGATCGTCACAAAGAGATGTTAAAACACCCTGAAAGCGTCCTAGATTCCTCAAAAACAGCCTTCTCAGTTATGACGGCTGGAAACGCAATTGGTGAATTATTACCACCATATATTCGTTACAAAGCAGAAAATTTATGGATGTCATGGACTGAAAACGGACCCAGAGGTTGCCGTTACAATAGGTCAAAAAGTGGGTGGTTTTGTTAGTTTCTTTTTCCAGTGGAAAGTAAAAATATATATATGACTAGACCGGCCAAAGAGAGAAAGTAGTGATAATAATTTAGATAATTTAGACTTAATTTTGAATTTGGATTGTGTTTATAATAGATTGTTGGGCGCCATCCGCGTTCGCGGAACCTGGATAATTTCTCCTGTACCGTCCGTTCATACAAGTACTTTACTTTTCCTTGCTAGCTCAGCGTTTATTCAAGAAAGAATGTTTGGTTGCAATTGTAGGGCGACTTAAATTACGTGTTGTAATAACTGGGGTAATAGTAAAAGTAGAAAAAAAACAGAAACCTCGGCCCTGGCTCTGGCTGGTTCGTAGAAGAAATCACTCACTCACCTCTTGGCAGGCTCACGACGGCAGCATACGTCGACACACCTTGCTTGAAGGATTGGGCTGATGAATACACGTAAGTATGGGTCTTTCCAGCAGTAACTCGGTCTTTTACTTTATAGGGGTCCACCAAGACGGAGGCTCTTGGCGCGACGAAGAGTGTAACGAATATTAACAATAAAAAGTGACTTTGACACGGTTGGGTTTTTGATTCATCTCTTTGACAGTTCCCTTCGTTGCAACTACGATTTTTTTAGGCACTCTCGGAGCGCCGTGCTATTAACAGTTTGACTTGTGTGTGTTTGAAGATTGGTTCACTTCCCTTCTTCTTCCAATCCTCTCAAAGAATGAAGGTAAAAAGATTATTATTGGGGACAATTTGTCATCACACTTATCCCTAAAGGTGATCCAGGTATGTCAAAAAAATAACATCAGTTTTGTGTTGTTACCGCCGAATAGCCCATTTATTACAACCACTAGATGTCGCTTTTTTCCGACCATTAAAAGGGGCATGGAGAGAGACTTTAAATGACTGGAAAAAGAGAAATAGGGATGTCGTCCCTAAAGAGACATATTTCCGAGTTTACTTAAGAAGACTTAAAAAAAATTGAAAACAGCCGCAAAAAATCTTATAAGTGGATTTGCAGCTACAAGCATATATCCTTTCTGCCCTGAAAAAGTTTTGCCGAAAGTCCCAGATTCTCAATCTGTCTCTAATTCAGAAGATGACGCAAGCGAACATTGGACTAATTCCTTCGTAGATATGTTAAAAGACTGTATAATGGGATCGAAACAGAAGCAAAGAAAACGAAGGTTAAAGTTGGCTGTGAAACCTGGGAAAAGTGTTGGAGGGCCAGAGGGAGAAGTTTTAAGCAACGAAGATTCTGAATCTGAAAACGATACTGAGAGTGAAGAAGGAAGTGAAAAGGACAAAGAAAATGAAGTCACCGAGATCGTAGAAGAGGTGGAAATAGAAGATGAAGAAATTCAACATGTCCAGGATATCTGTGAAAATGATTTTATATTGACAAAAATCGTCGTGGGCAAGAACAAACATTTAAAATCAAAGTTTTAGAATGCACAACTACCTCTCAACATACAAATGTAAAAATTAAAGCTGATTTTATGAGGCCTATAGATACAAAAAATGATACATTTACTTATCCTGTAGTAAGAGATGTCACTACAGTTGATATGGAGCAAATTATAGAAAAACTAGAGAATCCTAAAGAACTAAGAAGGGGACGCTTTAAATTTAATAGATCTCTTTTATTACTGCCTTAATATTTAAAACTTTACTGTACTTGTGTGAAACTAATGTGATTTAGGATAAACCCTTAATTTTTTTTATAGAAGAACATATTTATTTTTTTATATTTACATATTTACACAAACACAGAGTTACGTTGTCTTCACATGGTTGAATATTTTAACATATAAACAACTGTTTTTTTCTATGTACCTACATCCTAAGTTATAATTTATTTTTTAAAAACTTAATTATTGTCCTATCTTACTCTTTGGATACGTTAACTTAAAAATATATGGCGTTTAAACCGTTGTCTCAACTCGCCCCGAAATGCGGGGCGAGTTGGGTTGGGACAACATAAATCCAAAAAAATATACATTTCAGCATCATCAGTTGTAAAATTTCATGATGCCTATGGATCAATTGCAATGTACAAAAAGAAAAGGAATCATACAAAGTATTATTAACGAAAATACTGATGTGTTTATCTCAAAATTGTCCAATGTCACCCCGGTTTACAGTAAGGATTTCTTGGTGCCACCAATTTCTTTGATTTTAAGAGTATTTCTGTGTGACTTTTCAAGCTTTACGTAAAAATTACCGGTACGGCTCTACCTTTCTTTCCAAGAATAACAAATCGTATTATATTTTAAACTAAAACCTTTTCCATTGTTGTTAGTGACTGATAAATATCTTGCATACCAGGTACCATCCTGCTGAACACATAAATTTAATCTTTCTTTCAAGGATCGTCTTACTCTTGATAACATTTCTGGAGTTATACTTCTACATGATTCTCTTATTCTATTTTTCATATCATCAAGAGTTGTTGGTGGATTGGCATATACCTGCCCCTTAATATAACCCCACAGGAAAAAGTCTAGAGGGGTTAAATCGCAAGACCTTGCAGGCCAGTGAATGAAACCCCCACGCCCTATCCATCGTTCTGGATAATTGTCATTTAAGTATATTCTGACATCATGATGATAATGAGCGGGCGCTCCATCGTGTTGTATAAATATATTTCCTCGTTCAACAATATCAATATCTTGAAGAAGATTAGGCAAATCATCTCTCAAAAAACGTAAATACCTAGGACCATTTAGGTGTTCATTAAAAAAATAAGGTCATACAATTCTTGTATTTAAGATACCACACCAAACATTTAACGACCAATTATTTTGGTACCTTACTTCCCGTAGCCAAAATTGATTTTCCGTTGAGTAATAGTGCATATTGTGCCGATTAACTAAGCCGTTACTTTTAAAAGTTGCTTCGTCCGAAAACAATATTCTTGTTAAAAAGTTTGGCTCAGCTTCAATTTGTCTATTCATAATAGTACAGAAATTTACTCGCTGTTCAAAATCATTTCCGTGCAATTCTTGATGTAGTTCTATGTGATAAGGGTGGTACTTATATTTCCTCGTTATTCGGTTTACAGTAGATTGTGACATTTCAGATATGTTAGCCACTTGACGACTACTAACATGAGGATCTTCTTCAACTTGAAGTAAAACTTCCAATTCCTTATTCTCATTTGACGCATTTCTATTAACTACTTCCCGTTTTTTGTAATTAACATTACCACTTTCATTAAATCTTACCATTAACTCTTCAAAAGACTTTTTCGAAGGCAAGCGTCTATCAGGATATTCCATTTTATACATTCTTTGAGCAAGAAGACAATTTCTTTCGGCTGCACCTAATGCATACACCATATCTATAAGTTCATTTCTTGTAAAATTCATTTTGAATTTCAATAATACTGATTTAATGTTCAAAATCTCAATAACAATGCACTGACAAGTCTAATGTAACAATTTTGATTATTTTGTTTATAATTGTCATTTTTTCATGGCTTTTGTGACAATGTAACACAATTAGAAAATCACGAAAAATGCTCCACTACATTGTTAAGCGAATATCTCCAGAAGTATTGAGTATAGGTATAGGACATGGTTAACAAAAGTTGTTAGTTTTTAAAAGATCTAAAGGAATATTGAAAAATATACAGGGTGTTCCATTTAAAAAAATTAAGATTTTTTAGTTTAAACTTCTTCAAATCTGTCATTATTTTACGAACACCCTGTAGGTGCTAATCAAAATTTGAATCCATGACGTTCTCAAGCCACCTTTACAGTAACACGGTACCAAAAATCTTGTTTTAATTCTTAAAAATAACGAGGATAGCTACTGTTAAATACAGGTACAAAAATGCAATATTTTTTATTTAGTTCCAATTATTTCAGAATCTATTAAATTTAGATATAGGAAACTTTATATCAAAATGTTTCAAATTAAACGTAGAATCTAAAAATGTTGTAAAATACAGGGTGTTCCATTTAAAAAAATGTAAGTTTGGTCTGCCACAAATTTTTGGAGCACCCTGTATATTTTAAAATATTTTTAAAATGTGTCCTGTTAGCGTACTTATCACCCTGTAGAAATAGTTTTTTGATAAACTTTAGCAATTCGGAGCAAATCTGCTTTAACCAATCGTTGACTCACCCTGTACAATATTATGTTAATTGATTTTGATTTTAATGTTTTTAATTGTTGTATTTATTTGTTAATTTTTAAATTTGAATTTGAATTTGTTTTTTTTTAATAAGAGTAGAGCTGACTCAACTTCAGGGTCTGGTTTCCTGTAATTTTATTTTGTTTGATTTGCTTAAAGCAATTTAAAATGAAATATGTTTTAAAATTTCAGTATGAGTATAGGTATTACAATTTTTGTTGATCGTAACTTTATAATTGACAAAATTTTATCCTTAGGCTAAATAAAACAATTACATAAAATTCCTCCTCTTAATGTCAAGATTTGATAACGTGCAAATTTTGGTTTTACGTTATAAGCATATACGATTAAATTTTAAATTTATGTCTTTAATATTCCAGTTTAGAGCTCTTTCAGACGAGGATACTGTATCCGAGATATAGTATGCGAGATACAGAATCGCGGTTTAAAATTATAACGGCTGCTGTATGGGATACCGCTGAGTTGCCCTGCTTGAATCAGTTGTCAGTTGCAGTGCAGTACGTATGGACGTGGAAGAATGCATAATGATGTGGTATTTAATCAGAAAAAATGAAAGGAGAAGGACTATGTGGGTTCATCCAATTGTGGAAATAAGAGAAGCCAAGGGAGCTTTCACCTTAATCTATGCAGATCTAGAGCAAGACCCATCATCAAAGTTTTTCAATTATTTTCGAATGTCCATTCAATCGTTTGAAGAGCTGCATGCTAATTTAGAATGTAAATTAGTAAAAAAAGACACTGCCATGCGTAAAAGCATTACACCAAGAGAACGATTGGCAATAACCTTAAGGTAAGAAAAAATACTTATTTATTCTAAGTTTTCTTGATTAGGTAGGTATTTATTTTGGTTATATTATGTAAGAATAATTTATATTCTATTGATATCAGATTAGTGACTGTCATCGGGATATTGGGTTAGTAAATCTAAAATAGATAATAAAGAAAAAATACTAAACTTATGTATTTTAAGTTTTCTTTAATAGGTATTTATTTTGGTTATATTATTATGTAACAATAATTTATATTCTATTGACATCAGATTTTAGACTGTCATCGGGATATTGGGTTAGTAAATCTAAAATAGATAATAAAGAAAAAATACTAAACTTATGTATTTTAAGTTTTCTTTAATTGGTATTTATTTTGGTTATATTATTATGTAACAATAATTTATATTCCATTGACACCAATTATTAGTGACTGTCATCGGGATATTGGGTTAGTAAATCTATTAAAGAGCCGTCAGTTGAAGCAAATGAGTATTGCGAATGAGGAGAGCACACATTACTCAGAGGACTTGGACTGGCATCGGGTGGTGCATGTGTTTTAAAATGATGAGGACTCGGTTGTAATATTTATGAATATTGTGATGTACTGGCAGAATGCATTTGTGGATTAGTGAAAGAAGTTGAATGATGTGCAGGATTGTGAGTGATATATGAACTAAAGCCAGGTTGAGTGGGTAACATTGCTGTTTTTATTGATTGGATTATTGCTAATTTAACATCCATCCTTTTTTCGATGGGCACTCTTTTCAAATCTCCAAGCAGGGAAAGAAGAAAGTGTCTGTCTTCGTCTTGGTCCAACTTTTTCTCATTTAGCTCTCGTCGATTAATGCTTTCCTTCAATAGTTCCGCAATTTGGGCGTCAGAATCTTTTTTTGAAGAAAGCCTTATTTTCTTGCGCAACGGTTCAGATGATGTAGTAGCAATAGCATCGTCTTCTTCCAATGATGGATCTGGCGGCTGTTGCGTTTCCTCATTAAAATTGGAAGTTGTTCTGAAAAAATACCAACATATTAAGTTTATTAATTTTTGTCCTACAAAATTGATTTTTCATACTCTTTATGCGAAGCGCATCTCATCAAAAATGACAACTTTTCAAAAAACACATAGGTCTTCCAAGTTACAGCAGATCCACTTTTTAATGTTTTCCTTTTCACCAGTTCACGCGCAAAAGAGTTTCTCAGATTCTTCCATTTTTTCTGTACATCTATTCCTAAAAAAAAACTAGAATAAGCATATATTATTCAATTTTTATTTTCAGGTATCTCGCGACTGGTTGCTCAATTACTGATCTACATTATACTATACCTACAGAGTTGGAATATCAACTGCAAGTGAATACAAAAAACATGTCAACAAATTTGGGCAGTCATGAAAGAATAGTATATACCAATTCCCACAAGAGAAAAATGGCTAGATCTTTATACTATAATTATAAACATTATTTTTCAGTACAACTTCTGGCTATGTGTGACTCCAATTACTGTTTCACATATGTAGATGTTGGGGATTATGGGAAAAACAGTGATTCCATTTTCCATCATCCATTTTCAAAAATTCAGATTTTTATAACAAATTAAGCAATGACAAGCTAGCCACCCCAGATCCAGATTTTTTGCCAGGTAGAAACGACATCAAAATTCCATATGTTATAATTGGTGATGAAGCATTTGGACTATCTTTTCATGTAATGCGCCCATACGGCGGACAAATTTTGTCACTAACAAAAAGGATACATAATTATAGATTGGTGATGAAGCATTTGGACTATCTTTTCATGTAATGCGCCCATACGGCGGACAAATTTTGTCACTAACAAAAAGGATACATAATTATAGATTATCCCGGGCAAGGAGATACATTGAATGCACTTTTGGGATTTTATCCAACAAATGGAGAATATTCCACAGACCACTCAATGTGTCAATAGAATTTGCAGAGGATATAGTAAAAGCTTGCACTGTACTCCACAATTTCGTACGTGTACGGGACGGATACAGACATGAAGATACCTTGTCCTACGAAGGACTCTATGACAATGTTAATGGGATGATATCGAACAGTGCAAGGTCAGCTAATGCTATTCGAGACTATTTTGCTGATTATTTCATGACTACGAATGTTTTGCCGTGGCAAAATTTTTATGCTTGACATGTATGTAAGAAATCTGTAATTACATTAATATAATAAATACTTACCATATTCATTCTGCTGCACTGATGTCAGTTCATCATAGTTTGGATGCATATCTTTACTGACTTCCACCCAGCACTGCTGTTTTTTATTTCTATTAGAAAAATCTTTGTGGGAAGTGTCCCATAGACATGAATTTGGCTCAATTAAGCTTATAAACTTTTCATTGTCGAAAACCGTGTGCTCCATGTCGATTCTTGTTTACGACTGCCACCACCCGCCTATGATGTACCGCGTATACTCTTAAAAAAGTATGCGTGTCTGAACAGGCACATATAGCGTAATGTAAAATCTGTATCTCAGATACGCATTCAGTCGCCGGCGGCTGGAGATTTGGAATTAAGAAATTGTGAATCCGGATACTGTATCCGCCGGCGCCGCTGAGGCACGTGTGAACAGCTCCATACGAGCGCATGCATTTGCTGTATGCGAGATACGCGTATCTCGCATACAGTATCCCCGTGTGAAAGAGCTCTTAATGTTTGTAATTGCAATTTGGCCAAATTTTAATGTGTATACAACTCACAATGCGCTGTGCCGTTATAGTGGTTTCTTCCTCAACTCTGGAAATGCGATAGGTCCATTTGTTGATAGAGGTCGTAGATAATTCCGCGTTGACGTCCAAAAACTCGTTCTGACTGCAATCCACTATGATGTTACCAGCCGACACTGCACTACACTTTTTGATTTTTCCACTTTATTTCACTACCTTTTAACTAGTTCAAATTATAGTGTCGAACTTTATGTTTATTACTACTGATGATTATAAACTTTTCGGGATTTTAACCATTTATGGACGTTGTGTGGTTATGACGTATGATACGTTTCACGTTTCAGATGGCTGGATAGGTAATTTTCACAACTTTATTGATTATTATTGATATTCAATTGTTATTTTAGGTGCTAAACTGACCATGTTACTGCTTTGAAGATTTATGAGAGACTAAAGCCTGTATCAGACAATGCAATTTTGTTGCGGCGACAAAATTGCGGGGATTTTGTTGTGGGAGTAAAATTGCATGCTTATTATTACACAATGGGACAGAATTGCTGCATTTTATTTAGTTTGTAGAAGTGTTACCAACTGCGCATTATAAACTACCTACTACTTTTAATTTAAGATTCAAACAAAACATTGTTATGGATGAAACTTCTAAAATAAATTGCTGTATAGCTTTAATAGCGGCTTCAACAGTGTTACTAACAACAGCCATAATATCAAGACGATGGTGGGTTCGACCGTGGATTTTAAAACGCTCTCAAGGCTGTTTAAACCTGGTTAATGAAGAATTTCAAGTATGCAAAGTTTTGGGTAGTTTTAAAAATTATCTTAGAATGGATAAACCGACATATGAAAAACTTTTAAGTTTAGTAAAAAATGATATCCAAGTTCAAAGCACACATATGAGAGAATCTTTGAGTGCTTCTGATAGATTAACAATAACTTTAAGATTTTTAGCCACAGGAGAATCATATCAAAGTTTACATTACACATTTAGAGTTGGTCAGTCTACTATATCTGAATTTATTCCTGTAGTGACTAAAGCTATTTATAATAATTTAAAGAAGGATTACTTAAAGGTGAGTGAAAACAAAATATCAATAAATCACTATTACTGTGACTGTTTCTTTAGGTCCCTAATACTGCAGCTCAGTGGCTAAACATATCCCAAGAATTTTATGAAAAATGGAATCTTCCAAATGTCTTAGGTGCTATGGACGGGAAGCACATAATATTTCGAGCCCCACGTAGTGCTGGATCTGCATATTATAATTATAAGCAACAACACAGTATTGTGTTGTTGGCAGTGGTGGATGCAGACTATAAATTTTTATATGTTGATTGTGGAACAAATGACAGAATATCAGATGGTGGAGTATTCCAAAGAAGTACATTATCTGCTGCTATATCCAACAATAGATTAAACTTCCCAGCTGAACGCCCGTTACCAGGAAGAACAATGAATGTGCCATTTGTTTTAGTAGCCGATGCAGCATTTCCTTTATCTAGAAACATTTTAAAACCATTTCCATTTCGCAATATGACATGGCCACAGAGGCTATTAAATTATAGATTGAGTCGCTGTCGTAGAGTAGTTGAAAATGCCTTTGGCATAATAAGTAATAAATGGAGAGTTTTATTAACTGTTATGAATTTGTCACCTGCAAAAGTTGAACTAATTACACTGACTTGTTGTGTTCTTCATAATTTTTTAAGAGTAAACTGTCCATTGCCCTGCGAGGGGGAAGATAATGCTGGAATAGATCGACGTTTTACTTTTCGTTATGGTTTAAGCCAACAGGGTGGAAATAGGCCAATGAGGCATGCCATCGATTTTAGCCAAGAGTTTATGAATTATGTAGTGAACGAAGGCCAAGTACCATGGCAAAATGACTTAACGTAGCTTGTTATAAATTAATTTTGAATAGAAATTTTATTTATGAAGTTTGTTGTATGTTACTGATCCCCACTTGCCCCTCGTACCTGTTATAATTTGAAAAAATGATTGCTTTAAAATACCCAGTTAATTATAATAAAATTCTAGTTTGTACAACTATTACTTGGAGAAGTGTTTCTTTTGACTAGTCGTAGATTATAATTACCACGAGTGTTGTATATGTTTGTTGCAGAACATAGGAGCTTGTTTTTGACTATGATAAGCAGTGTTAGTAACATTAAAACGATAGTACTAATCTTGGAAAGTCCTGAGAATCAACCTACATTACTATGGCTTATTATAAATACCTATCATTAGTAATAAAAAATGAAGTCAGCCATATTAACCTAAGATATAAAAGTTATTCTTGCTTTATTTCATAGATATTTATTTGAATTTACATTTACAAATCATGTAATCATAAAACTTTAATTCGAATCATTGTCTTGGGCATCTATTACTAAATTAAATATGTGTCTTTTTGTTTCCCGTAAAATATGAGGGTTTTTAATTTTGCCTAATTCTGTAGATGCTAATACTTCTGATGCATGTTCTATTATAGACATAGCTTTCGTTTGTAATGTACAGCGACGTTTTCTTCGCACTGCTGTCGATGGCCGTGATGTTGATGGGGTAGCTGACGAATCAATTTCATACTGAAAATTATCCAGATCTTCTACGAAGCCATCAAATACTATGTCACTGTTTTCTTGGTCTTTTTGAGGGTCATCTTCAGTAATCTCTGTATTTTCATCTAAATTGGATGTCGACTCCCTTACCGGGGCAGAGCCCTTCAAAAAAGATAATAACTGATAACTCCATAATTTAGGTAGATATATGTCATCTGTACCACTTCCACTTGTATAACTTGCTTTAAGTTTTGCGAGTTCCTAAAATAAATAGCCATATTAAAAAAAAGGGAACAGTGAAACTATTGATTTACCTTAAAATATTGAGATCTCAAGCCATGGATTTTTCTATTTACTTCTTCCTCTGTGACATTTTCTATTAACTTGCTTTCTTCTAATGCATTTTTTATCAATTTAATAGTTGCTACCCTCTTCGTTTTATTTTTATAATCAGCGTGAGTAGTTTTATATAAATAAGGATGACTTTCATAGAGTTCAATCAACCATTTTGTTGCTTCGCGAGACCAGTCTATTTTTGGCAGAGTTGCCAATGGTTCCCGGATGAAATACCCGTTACAGGATTCGTCATTACCCACAAATACCCACAATACAATTTTCTACAGAGCGGCACATATAAAATAAATAATCGATCTTTATTAGATTTCAAACAAGAATTACAATTAAACAAAGGATCTATACGATTTTTTTATTCGTTTTAAAATGCCATGCTTAATTGAAATGGCAAGTTATTAACTCCAGTAATCCACATAATTTAAGTTCAGCCCTTTTGGTAGATTCTTTAATGCGTTTTGTCATAAGGTCACTTATTTTGATATTCGATTTGATTTAACATTATTTTTGTTTCTCTGAAGACTGATGTCATTAATTGACCATAAAAATGATCTGTATCGACGTAATCTTTAAAAAAACATAAAAATAATGTTAACTGCGCTACTCATAGCACCCGCGCTAGCCTAAGGGCCACCTTAGCAAAGCGCATCCCAGGCTGCATAGACGCACTATCCTACCCAACCATAAACATGACACTACCCCCGGGGTTTACACAGACGAGCCGGCGAAGCAAGAAGAGCGCCAGAAGAAAGGGCCCTAGCCGGCGGGGCCCACAGGACAAAAGGAGGTCCCACAAAGCGCCTACACCGGCCGCATTTCCGGTCGGGGTAGACGACGGATGGGGCCCACCTACGAAGGCTGTCCAGGCCTACACGAGATGAGGCAAGATAAAAAGGGATAATCCCCCTCGATCCCAAATCATTGAGGCCAATTTCTAGCCATGGAATAATGGCGCGTACTCATAGCATAGCAGAAGGTCACAAGGAACAAGAAGGCACATATTAATTAATGAGACGGACGGACTGACGATGACGGCTGTCCTGGATGCTTTCGTTTTGGCAAAAATAGTACCCAATATCAACTAAAATCAGTTCAGAATAACTCTAAGCTTCTATTAGCTGCTGTTAGCTACTATTTTTGCCAAATCGAAAGGCCATCTGAGGGTCTTTCGATTTGGCAAAAATAGTAGCTATTAGTAGCTAATAGCAACTTAGAGTTACTCTGAACTGACATTAGTTGCTAATAGGTACTATTTTTACCAAAACGAAAGCCCCCCTGTGTTACTACGAGAGTATTATATCTATCCTCTATTATCTTCGCGTAGAGTAGGCTAGCCACCTACAACGTAATATAAAGTTACTTCCCTAATAAAATAAATATTCCCCACAAAATCTCCAGGAAAAACAATTCCCCACAAAAAAACCCACACTCAATGAAATTCCCCACGTTTTGGGGAATTACCCACAGATTGGCAACCCTGATTTTTGGGGCCATTATTCAATCCAAAAAACTTAATGACGACAGAAATAAAGACGCTAATAAAATTTTTTAAAACGTAGAACGTAAAAGTCCGCAACCACAAAACATAACCAAATAAATGTAAATCACACTTGTATTCATTTTTCCACAGGTCTACCAACTTTAAAATACAGGTTGGTAATAAACAAATCTTCATAAAAGTAACTAGAATCCCTGCAATTTTGTTGCACGGAATAGAGCAACCAAATCCCTGCAACAAAATTGCATTATCTGATATAGGCTTAACTACTTTGAGCTCGATTTTTGTTTTTATTAAAGTGAAAACAAAAGAAATGTTACTATGGAAATGTTAAACGAAACTTTTGAGAATTTTTATTTTCAAAATACCGACTTTCTACATTGTCTTTAATATTTTCTTTTTTCACTTTACTAACAATTCTTTACTGATTTTTGAAACCAACGATTGAAAAATTTTAGGTTCATCGATTTATCGAGAACTTTTAAAGTTTATTAAAGTTTACACACAAATTCGACCTTGGGTTGGAATCTCAATACAGTTTTTGATGTTAGAAAGGTATTTTACACTGCACAAGCTATTTTGCAGTTCTACAACACTTTTAAAACTAGAACTTTACAAATTCTTACGATAATATAGATATGTCATTTTGAAACACTCATGAAACTCTTTAGAATGGTTCAGGTTTAATTCCACTCATAAATATTGACTCTAGGTATGCCATATTTTAATTTTATACAGAATTTACTGCATGTTACTCCTTTATATGAGAAATTCCTTTACCATCCGTCGATAACTTATCAAAATTCTGAAATTTTTCCAAATTTGCTTATTAATTGATATCTGACGTTATTAAAAGGTTCTTTATTATTCTTTTTAACTTTTTTATAATGCATGAGTGCATTTTATCACTATTTAATGTATAAATTTAGTTTTGATCATAATTTTGACAGTTGAGACGTTTCATAGAACGATTTTAAAACTTTTACTACTACAAAATTATTTTACATACAAAAATATCCTTCATTTTAATCATTATTGTGATCCACACCCCTTTTATGTCTATATTACAATTAGATATTTCTATTTATTTCAAAAATTTTATATGTTGGTCCTTTTTTTATGCGTTTAAAGTTTTCTGTGAACAAATCATAACAATATGTATATAACAAAATCTTAAAGTATAGTCGGGTATCAGTCAAAGCAGTCATGTAGTTTCTCCTGAAGAAGGAATACTTTATTCCGAAAACTCGAGTAATAAAAAAGAGTATACATTCAGGTTAGCTTTGACTGCATACCCTGGTATACTTTAAGATTTTGTTCTTTAACTTAGACAGTCGTCTAACATTTTCGCGATATATGTTTGGGAAAAAACAATAAAGGTTGAAAACTCTTTATTTCTGCTCAAGCTTTCGGGAAAATCGTCTCTTCTTCAGTAGTTGAAATCAACTTTTTATATCTATTTCTGTCTAAACACTTCTCAATTTTCCATTTTACTAATTGGTAATTGTGGCGTGACCGTTCAGTACAAATTCAGTTAAACGACGTTAAGTTGATTCAATGAATGCGTGCTGAACTAGATAAGTTGTGTAAAAAGCAATCAGATCTGTGCTTTTGTCTTGAAATAGGTACAGCCAAGGATATTGAAGGATGATCTTCTTCCTTCATTTGAAGAAATCGAAGAATTTGAGGATTACATAGAAAAATTAGAACAGGTACTCATCGATAAACAGCGCTGCGAACTGGAACAACTGTGGGATAAATGCCATTGCAGCCAGTTTACAAAAACGGAATATAACTCCCTCCGAGCAGATACCGAGGACTTGTCAGAACATTCTGAAGTTGAAATTACCAAGTGAGGTGCTTACAAAAACAGCCATTGTCCAAATTTTACTTCTGTGGGAAATTAAAAAAAGGGTTCTATCATTGTTACATTTGTTACGTTATAAAAAAAAAACAAACTAACTTTAGCTTTATTTAAAATACCACGAATAGTCGGGGTGGACAAATTCTTTAATATTTATACTTTAACCTTCAATAAGTAGCAAAAAGTAAGAGTGGCTGATTTATCTTTGAGGGTGACAAGCGTGCTGTAGACTGAACTTTATTTTAGGGGTTGGCCGCTAGCTTGTAGACAGTGGAGATGGCCGCAGGTAAAATGAAAGAAATTCAAAAGAGGGCGCCACCCGTTTTCAACCCCGGATGGTGAGTGCTACAGGTGGTAAAGTCCATTCTACTGGTCTTCGATGATACAAAACGGGAAAAGGCTTTAAAAAAAACGCGAAAAACAAATTACTAACATGGGTTTATTCAAACTCAACTGCACCAGTTGCTCGGCGTAACTGAACGCCCTACCGCACTGGTTGGAATCGAACGTATCCTACAGCAATATTGACAGTAATATAACCAAGTACGGTCATCTTATGGCTATGAAATTTTCAAAAACAAAATAAGCGGTAGATGTGCAAATACAAATAAATAACTAAACAAGC